CACACACACACACACACACACACACACACACACACACACACACACACTCCCACACACACACTCCCATACAGTAGAGGAATGTCCTCATTGATTGAACCAGTTTCCCCCCAAGAGCGGTTAAATCATGACTCGTAAATCACAGAGACCTTTTTTTTTTTTGTTAGTTTAGTGACGCCTCGTTATTACAGACAACTCGGTCATGGTTAAAGACTCATCTGGGTATCGACATGGGGAGGGGTGGAGAGGAGTTGAGCTTACACTGGGGCAGAGGTGGGCAGACCGAAGGTAAATCTTCTCCGTTTCCTTTTACAGGGAGAAAAGGACTTGGGATCTTCCCCGGATATATTTCATCTTTACTGCAAAAAACAATGTTCCTTTTCTCCTTTTCATTCCACCTCTTTTTAAAGAGTAGCCTGCGCTGAGGAGAGGAGCAGACGGTGCTTGTTCAGGCGCCACCTTGGACACAGCAGGCAATCAAAGTGCTGTGTAAGGGTGGAGTCACACGCATTCTTTCTCACAGCTCAGCAGAACACGCGTGTAATTTACTGCATGATGTATGACTCCAGAGTAAATGAGCGGCCACATAATGTTGGTTTCTGCATCGCATCCCCCCCCCTACAATCTTCTTCATCTCTACATGTTTGTCGCCCTTGTAGTCACCCTTTTGAATTTTTGGTGATTATCCTTTGTTGCTGTCTTGTCTTGTTTTGCACCTGGCTCCTTGAACCCCACCCCACCCCCGTCAAGTTATTTTCTTTTCCCTCTTCCCTCCTCCCATCGCGGCACTCGCTTCTGCTTATTATAGGGAAGGGAGCTGGGTGAAGAAGAGGGGGATGGGGGATGAGGAGAGAGGCCAAGGGAGCGTGAAAGGCGGGGCGGAGAGAGGAGTGTCGGGGTTGTCGAGTGTGTAAGAGAGAAAGCAAAATGATTGTGTGCGTGTGCCAGTGGGAGCTCAACCCCCTGACAGGCTCGGTGTCAGTGCCATTGATCCTGTCTCACGCGAAGGCAAGCTTATTTATTCAGTCCTTTAGACACACACACACATACATACATACATACACACACACACACACACACACACATACACACACACTTGCACTGTATGAAAAATTCGAGCAGCCTCTTTTTTTTAATTTACTCCACTTTTCTCCCTCTTGGTTTGTGTGGGAATGTTTTAATGTGGGCACATTTCCATTCCCCCCCCCCAACATCAAGGCCACGGGCTCCTTGCCTCGTGCCTCTTCACTTGGAGGTTTGTAACTTTGAGTTGAATATTTAATCGTCTGCCTCCTCACTCTTTCACCTCCTACTTTTTAGTCTATTTTTTCCCTCATGTCTTGCTTGCTCACCATTCTTCACCTCTCCTAATAAGCCGTTTAATTTGCCGAGCGGCTCTCTTCTAGTGCGCTGATGGAGGAGAACCGATGCGTAGCTGGTGGGAGGTTATGAAGGGGGAAAAGGAAGAATATTCTTATTTTTCAGAAAGAACTATCGGTGCTCTTATGTGGCAGAGAAGAAGAAAGGGAGGTAGGGTGAAAGAAAAAAATCCTTGTGAGTCTGTTTCATTAAAGTTACAAGACCCCGGAGGATCAGGGCAGGAAGAGAGGGGGGTATCTGCTGTATGTCTGTCTAGTGTGCTGCTTTCTGCTTCTGCTTCTCCACCACCCACAGTGGTTCTGCAGAGCCCACCACACATTCCTGACCCACATTCCTCTGCATATTACTGCTCCCATCCCTGTTCATAAATCTGTATTCATAGAATATTCACTGTAAACACCACAGCTAGCTTTGAACTCTCATATCTTTTTAAAGTTGCTTCCGTGTTTAGCAGGCTGAAAACTGCACACTGGAAAGGCAATAGGGGGAAAACAGGTGCCCATGGGAAAGTTTTGTAACGCTGCCATCACTAAGCTACCTGGGCTCATGGGATATATATATATATATAAAATTTTATAGATCAAGGATGATGACGAAATGGGAAAAGACCTCCTTGCAGTCAGTCTTGTTTGACAGAAATGGACATTATCCTCCGTAGCCACAGTATTGAAAGCTTGAGTTCCAGTGAGTCAGCGTCTTGGCCCCTCAGGGAGTTCACACTTGTTCAGAGGGTCTCGCTTAACCTTCACATCCTGGGACACGGTGACATTTCAGCTAGTAGGCACAGTGAGTAGACCGGACCTGTATTCATCAAGCGTCTCAAAGCAGGACATCACTTCTCAGGGTGATGCTTTTTTTTTTTTTTTTTTCCCTCATACTTCTCGAACCAGGAGTAAATACCTAATAACCTAATAAATCACTCCTATCTCTCCTCAAGAGGAGTCCTAACCTGTCAGAGGTTGCCTGGAGGTGGCATTGAAGCGGAGATATTCTGTGTGGAGGACAGTACTTATTGAAACTCGATAACATTTGAGACTGACTTTGTGCGCGATGCACAGAAAGAAGACGCGCTGTCCCTGCAGAAACGGACATCCTCACAATGTGTCTTTAACGAGCAAAGTGCAGCTGCACAACAGTGATGATTAAGTCTGAACCAAGTATAGCATGAGTATAATCGGAAGTCATGAATTAAACTTTGATGGCACTTATGCACCTTCGTAATGCGCGCGGTGAGGGAGGACTTAACTTAATTACAACAGGTAAAATATTTTTATTGGGCCTTATATCATTTCTTTTAGTCAGGCTATTTCAAATAGTAGTGCAGCTGTAATATTTGAAAGGAGAAGATGCACCATTACATTGCACTGCGTTCACATTGTTACAGTGCATTTCCCGAGAGTCTGTGACGTTACAGGAAAAGTTCCAATTCTAAAGTAATTGAGAAACACGGTTCCTGTAACTACTTTAATCTAGACTGAGTTCAGGAGAGCGGTGTTGTGCAGCAAATCCAGTGAGAGCTGTTACCGGCTGCCCGTGGTGAATCGGCACTTTGTGGGAAACCTTGCTCTCCGCAGGTGAGACTGTTTGGAGAGAGCAGAGCCTGTTATCCATCTGACCCAGATGCCATGCCCACTCTATGTAAATGCCGCATTGACTGCATTAACTGCGGTACGAAAAATGTGCGCTGCAATCGTGGAGGCCCAGGCCCTCTAGGTTTCGGCTGGCAGATGGCTTGAGTAATGGCTTTCACCTTACCTGCCAATTTACTGCTGCTGATTTGTTTACACTCATTATATGCTCTGTTAGGGAGACATTTTCAGGCAGTGAGAAAAGTAAACAGCTCCTCAAGTCACTCACCCCGTGGTTACTAGCTCCTGAATCATAATTCACTCCTCTTGTTTTGTCCCCCCCTCCTCCCCGCACAGAGAAAGAGAAGCGAGTGAAGTCGGGTTCAGACGGAGAAGGAGCCAGCAACTCCCAGTCGGACAGCTCGGCCAGCCTGGGCAGCCTGAAGGCAGGAGGTGAGTCATGTCACCCATCATCACGTCTCTCTCGCTCTCTCTCTCTCTGTCCTCCTCACCCTCTCTGTCACAGTAATTGTAGCCTGGGGGAGGGGGAGGAGAGTATTCAGCCGCTTGTCAAAGCTTTGCTTACAGTGAGGCTGCAGGTCTCTCTGTTATTGTTTCTCGCTAGTGTCATTACAATCATCAGCAAATTACATTTGTAGGTGATGGTGTATGATGACAATGATGATTTTAATTTGAAAACAGTAAGTCTCCCCCCCCCCCCGATTGCTGTGTTGTAGATCCATTAAAAACAACACATAATTGAGAACTGTTCATGGACAAACAGCCACATTCTGTGTCTCTCTGGAAGCACAATTACAGTCCTGTTTGTACAAAGAGCATGAAGGAGGCCTACGTGTGTCCGTCCCCCCCCCCCCATTGTTCAATCAGATTTACTCAGATTCCAGGACTCGAGACGGGGGTCATGGCTTCTAAACATGCTGTTGACATCCAGTGAGCCAAACCACCTTTAGGCATTATTAGCTCCCTGCATTGTCCACAGCCAAGAGACAATGAGATGGGGAGCATCCTGTTGCCGGTGGCACAATGGCTGCACACTTATTCCTCATGATGCCTTCTCTTTGTTCATCCTGTGCATGCCTCTTCCCTGTCACACTCGGTGAGCGTCAGCCGCACTATGATCCATTTGGAACTGGAGGTTTCAGTTTTTAGTAGGCAACTCTGAAAACATCCGCTTTGTGCTGAGCTTCCCCCACTACCCAGCTAGGTGGCCTCCAGCCAGAGAGAGATCTCTCTAAATCCGTCCTGACACTTTATTTGGGGGCTGCGGCCCCCGAACGTGTCGCATTTTTATGGCTGACACGGGTTTTAAGGATGATCCCTAGTGAGAAGTGTCAATAAAGCCGGACTTGAAAACAGATTCTGGCAACCGAGAGGCTCGGTGTGTGCTTTTTTGTGGACCAACTTTCATCCCACTGACCTTTCGGTGGGTCATTGGGCTGCCAGCGCGCTGTATTTCTGTAAAGCAAATTGGCGTAATTGTACAGCAGAGCTGGAAGCCTCTGAGTGCCTTTTTTAAACAGGCTGAGCATTTCTCTGGCCTGCCAGAGGTTTTCAGCACTGGCCCTAAAGCAGCGATTGGGGACAGCAGAGCTTGAGAGCGAGGGGAAGGCTGTACCCTTCACTTTGGTCTGATCAAATGACACGCCGCTGTGTCGGAGGGACTCTCGGGATCAGTGGTGTGTTCGGAGGTGAGTTGGCTATATTCATGAGACATGATAGCCTCGTCTTTCTCCCTGCGACCAGGCCTCTCTCAGTGGCTTCAAAATACAAATGTCACTTCTTAGTGCCCGCTTGATAATGATCAGCCTTTCTCAGTCTTCTCCTCTTCAAGAGGTTCAATGTGGTGCTGCAATGAGCATTATTGCTTTATCTGTCAGTTTCAAACGTGTCATTTTGCTTGAAAAGATGACAGAATCAATTTACCAGTGATCAAAATAATTGCTCATTTAATTTTCTTTCAATCGATGAATTGTTGTAGCTGTAGTTAATTGTGCCAGCTGAGTGTTTGTTACGGTGGAAGTGACGCTCTGGGAGCAAACACCGTAGCTGTTATCTTAGCTTAGTATTACCACCAGATGAGTCCTGATTTCCCCCCCCCCCTCTCTCACAGTGAATGACAGCCCCACAATATTACCTTCTTCATCACAGCAGAATACTCAAAATGCCTTTGAGCCAGCGTTGACAGAGAGGACGAGTCGAAGGGAATTGGGAATTCGTGATGACTCGCGTGTATGTCAGCTACTCTTTTGAGGAACAAAGGAAATGGGGAAACGTTTATTTTCAGCATAGAAGAGTTCAGTTGCGGTAGCATTAGAGGGCTCGTAGAGCTTTCGCTGTTCTCTAGGGATAACATTAGTCTCAAAGACGAGACAGAAATTAGTGTTGACGCACATTATTGACACGCATTAATCATCGGGAAAGGCCATTCCAAGCCAATCCCATTACAGATCGGTGGTGTCACCGTGGTTCGGCGTGCAAGTCAGGGGGTTACCCCATGCTCACTCATCATAAGTGACAATCCACAGATGGCTGCATCGGGGAGCTCCATTAGAGCTACGTTTTTACACAGCTTGATCCCCGGAAACGTCCCACACACCGCAAAATACTCGCAGAGGGCAGGGTCTATACGTTGTTTTTTTTTGAGGAAAATCCTCCTTTAAATCTCTCCAACATGTTTGTTTTTGTGTTGCAGAGGTCGCCACAGGGAAACTTCTGGACTTGGCAGAGGGAGCCAACGTGGCGCTGGTCCACTCAGGAACAAAGCAGACGGAATCGGACCCCTTTATGGTGCATAATCACGCAACAGAGAACAACAATACTGTATGGGTAAGACAAGAGGCAGGCTTGATGAGATGGGAGGAGAAGAACGTCAGGCAGGAAACACTGATTAATTAGCCAAAGTGCCTGCTGATGTACTGTACCTGTGGTATTTGAAAGGAGTGGATTCTGCAGTTGTCAGACAAATAGCCTATTGAACAGAACTTATCAAATGGTCACATAGCTGGAGAGGGTGTGGGCTGCACGTAGCCCAGATAAACCTCCTAGAACCATGTGAGGCTAGAGATGACTGTGTGAGTAAATGTATTGTTAACGTATTAACACCGCAATGAATATGCACTGTTTACCCATCACCTCTTGAGACGTGACCTTTATTTTTAACCAATGCCTGTGTGTTCTGTGTGGCAGGAGTTGGAGGACGGTCTGGACGAGGCTTTCTCAAGGTGAGAACCGGTGTGGATTTTGGGTTTTCCCTAAAGGCCCCCTGGCTCTGCTAAACAGCCACCCAGGCAGCTGTTCTTGAAAAAGCCCCCTGCGGGTTTTGGCTGCTCCAGCAATAAACACAGCCTCTCCCTCTTTCTCGGTTCGGCCCTGGCGCGTACGCGCTCGGTTTATAGGCGATCTGACGTAAGGCGACACCCGCCCCGAGTAATGCTGCTTTTGTGGGCTCCGTTAACCATCGTCTCAGGCCCGCACACCGACTCCGTATGAGCTCCGAAAGCCTGTGATTACAAATGAGTGCTGCTGAAGGAACACATTGCTTGGTATTTATATCACGGACCCACAGGAAAGTAACGTATTGTGCAGTGCAGTACTCCTTTGAGTGTTACAGTTCAATAAAAGCACAGGCGGGAGGAAAAAGATCAGGTCTCATAATCTGCAGGTTGAAGGTTGACAAGAAAGTCCAATTGTCGGCGCTGATTGGAATTCCTTAAACCGTGTCTGCGCCGTCAACAAACTAATCTGAGAGGAGTCCACTGTGATTAATGTTTCAATTTAGTCTGAATGGGCCGCGCTGTCTGATAAGATGCGGTGGTTCTGCTCTCAGGTGGAAGTTTACAGCCGTTTGTTCCGGACTCATTCAAACACGTTATTAGTGTGTTCATTTCCTTTGGCCTTGCCTTTCACCCACGCTGCTAATTGGACAGTGGGCTTCTTATTCTCTCATTTTGTGTTAGTGAAAGGGAGAACGGGCTCCTCAGCCTCTCTAATCAAGCGCTAAGAGGCCATTTTAGCCCCGTTATCAGATGAATATTTGTCTGCACACACTGTAATTACACCCTGACGCCGTTAATCTCCCGCTCTGCGACTAATGAGGATGCTCCCAGCATGAGCGCAGAAGCATCCACATGTAGATTTCTGTAATTGGAAGGGGGGGGGGGTCCAGGTTGACCATGAGAACCTGATTGTACTGGTTAATGTTGGGGTACAAAAGGGAGGGGAGAATTCATGATTATGTGAGAATATTACAGGATGATGGTTCAAATGATGATACCTGACAGTTGGCGTGCCTCGGCTACAGTTTAGTGTGAGAATTCACAATCAGAGGGTGTAAGTTATTGTAAGCTTGAGTAACACATTCGCCATATAAAGCTGCTTTATGAGCTTCTTTTTTTAATTCTTTACGCTTTACTAGTGACAGATTATGCACTTTTACATTTGATCAAAGTACTATCAAACATCACAAGCACCAGAGCCTCCTCTCCCTCCCCATAACCGGCAGCGAGTTATGGGCGACACGAGAAACATCTGCTCCCTTACTGCCAGACCACACTTTTAATTCTGCCATTTAAATTCTCTTAGATGAGCACTTTGGTCCACTTTACTTTTGGCTATGAGCTGCAGATGATTCATGTGTTGAGAGCGTTTTCATTGCTATTTAAGAGACTGCACTGCCCTCTGCTGGATCCACTGTAGTAGATGCTGTAGCCTCGTAAGTGCCTGTTGATCATAGTGAGGAAAACGCCAGTTTGATGTGCTTAGTTATGGTTAAACCCCAATATCACAGCCTTATGTTAAAGCATAAAGAGCTGGACATAAAGCCGCACCGTGGCCACATAAATGTATCCACTCACTTTATTATGAGGCTGTTCAGAACAGTTAAATTGTTGCCTGACTTGTGATGTTTCCTTTGTGCACCCTCCCCCCCCTAGCCGCAGTCTGGATAGCTTTGAATCCTACTCAGGTAACGACGTCATTCACTGGATCTAATGACTTCCACCTCATTCCCTAGTCAACATTCATCTGTCTGAATATCGGATCGATCAAGACTCGAGTAGTTTTCACACTTTCTTTTTAAGGCCACATACCATTAACAAGACTTTAATTAGAAAAACAACTCCTCATCGTCACTCCACAGTTTGATCTATCCCTGAGCTTCACTGCCACAGAACCTGGTGATGTGTGCCGCTGTGTCCGCGTCTTCATCACAAGTGTTTTTATGTGTCTCCGCCTCACATCCATCCGGCTTTGCACATGAGAGATGTCGGGATGAATGAAAATGCCGTGTGCTCACATGTTGGTCCGACACGTTTGTGTTTGAATCGCCATTTTGAATGTTGGGTCATATTGGGTTGCCATGATTAGTTCACAAAGGGGAATGTTCCTGCAAAGTAATCATGCCACTGTGTTCATTAGTCATGCTTATGTCCATACCTAGTGTACACACTGTACTTACAAGCTTTTTGAGTGTAATGAGTTCTCATTATAAGTCACAACATTTTTTGATCACTGCTCCGGTTTCATCGTAGCAGCTGCTAATAAAACGTCTGTTTTCCTCTGTTCCTCCAGACTCGCTGAGTCTCGCACTAACCCCCAGGTCCTGGACATTGGGGTAAACCCTCAGGACTTCAACACTGAAGAGTGCCTGTCCCCGGGCAAATGGGACCAAGAGGACATGGACTTCACCACACAGAAAGACACGTTCTAAAGGAACGTGAGGGAAAGGCGAAATGGGGAGGAAGGGGGGAAATGGTGGAAAAACAGACATTGTTTGAGACATCAGTACGGTTCCCCCACCTTCCTACCTGCTGTCGTACCTCTCGGTGGTCCGGTCCAGTGGCCCTCTGATGCTTCTGCATCTCCTCGACCAGAGAAGGACAACAAGAGCAGGCTGCTCGCAGAACAGGCCAAAGCAATACAAACCAATTAATCTCTTTTCTATGGAAAAAAAAACAAAAAAAAAACATGCAGTCATTTAATGTTTGTTACAGTCAGTGTATTACTTCCTTTTTTTGTGTCTGTTTACCCATTTACTGTGTGTGTGTGTGTGTGTGTGTGTGTGTGTGTGTGTGTGTGTGTGT